GRGMTCCACGATTAGTTGTAACATTAGACATTATTTGATAAACATATTTTAACTGTAAAATAAATACTGTAAAAATACTGTAGGTTGTTTTGTAAATTTTTAAAAATAGATTTTAACACGGACGGAGCCATTTTATTTACATGCAAAGCATTCTGGGTAAATGATGACGTGGATAGGTCCTCGGTGCGAGGCTGCTAGCGAGCTATATCCACCCTGAAGGTTAATCTTGGACAATATCTGATGATCGACTCTTAAATGAAACCAGAGAGCGTTGACAGAGAGGAGAAGGTAGAAATGACTCAGCCTGGAACTGAAAATATGGATGGAGGACAACAGAGCTGCTTCATGGAAGAAGAACCTCAGCTTAGCCTGTTAGCTTTAGCATTAGCACCGCCACTATATTGCCTTATGTATTAGCTCAGTGCTAGCATGACAAACTAACAAGCTAAACTGAGGTCCTCCATCCATATTTTCAGTTACAGACTGAGTCATTTTTGTGTTCCTCTCTCTGTCATGTGGATGGAGGACCTCAGTGACGAGAGGAGAATGTGTAGTGCTGAGCTAATACATATATATGGTGATAGCGTCGGGGCTAACACTAAAGCTAACAGGCTAAGCTGAGGTTCTTCTTCCATGAAGCAGCTCTGTTGTCCTCCATCCATATTTTCAGTTCCAGGCTGAGTCATTTCTACCTTCTCCTCTCTGTCAACKCTCTSKKKTYWYWTWWAAGAGTCGATCATCAGATATTGTCCAAGATTAACCTTCAGGGTGGATATAGCTCGCTAGCAGCCTCTCACCGAGGACCTATCCACGTCATCATTTACCCAGAATGCTTTGTGTGTACATAAAATGGCTCCGTCCATGTAATATATGTTAAACTTTTAGTTTAGAAATTATAAAAACTGAACATCCAACAGTATTTTTACAGTCTTTATTTTACAGTTAAAATATGTTTATTAAATAAAGTCTGTTACAACTAATCATGGATCCCTTTAAAGAACAACAGAGTTTTTATTCAGCAGTACTGACAGCTCAATAACATTCAGACTAACTAACCTGTGAACACAGTTTAAACTAAATTGGATTGCTGCCTTTTGAAAAAAAGCTCCAGTTTTCAGCATTTCATAATGATTTATGTGACACTGTTTTATGAACCTTTACACAGCTGTCAGTTTTGTATTACACATACGTAGCTAAAGTTCATTGGTTATTGGTTATCCAGGGTCTCATGAGGTGGTGCCTGGCAGGAAGTGTGTATTTCTCTGCAGATACAGTAATTGTGTAATACAACTGTGTAAAGGTTTGTCAATGCATAAATAATTAAAGTTTGAAAATTAATGATCAAAGGCTGTGATAATTAAAAAAAAACTACGTTTCTGTTTCCCAGTCATACACATGGTGTTTATTTCACAGCATTTTGTCTCCGCTGTTGTTGTTTCCATTTGCTCTCATTGTTTCAGGTGGTTTTCTCTCCTTTGTGAACACTGCTGTGTCTCTGTGTGTCTCTGTGTCGTTGTGTTTGTCCTCACTGTCCTGTGAAACTCTGAGCTGACTTTACATCATGGGATCAATGAGGTTTGCCTCTTAATGATCTGACTGGACTTTCAATTCAATTTAAAACTACTTTATTGAGCCCAGAGGGAGATTAGTTGTTGTTTTTTTTAGACGGAATTTGTTCTTTCAAAATTAAAATGTACATGTCATCATTGTCAACCCGCTAAATGATCAGCCAGTTCTGCTGCTTTAATCACTTGTTTTCAGCACATGGTTTAATTCCTGCAGATACATCCTTAGCCCACAGATTTATGTTGATAGGTTTTAAAAACAGAGCTCACATGATGAGTTAGAGATGAGAAAATGCTGTGAATGACTCCCAGCTACAATAAACAGCTCAGTATCTGTTTATGATTATTCTGGTTGCTTAAACTGACTCCAAAATGTAATCAGTTGTAGATAAACATTTATTGAATATGTAACAAAACCTGATCAATAAATTGGAAGTCAAGAATAAAATAGCAGTAAAACAGTCGATTCACTTCCAGAGAGCTTTATTCTCAGTCTCTGACTCCATTAACAGCTCACAGCAGCCAGCAGCAGGCCACAGAGAGAAAGACCTTGGCCTTATCAGAACCATAACAAAAACAATCCCTCTCTGTAGCCCAGGCTGTCCCAGGCTGATCCAAGGGAGAGACTGCACAATCATTAATGATAAATCAATCTACTACATATGACTTCCTGGTCACACCCCTGGAGGTGTTACCTTTTATCAAACCTTAGAACAAATCCAACTTTGTTTATGCAGACAAAACAGAACACACTGATAAGACACACTGACTCTGTTCCTCTATTTATGGTCATAAAGTGTAAAATACAAGACTGGATCTAAAATTCAGTTAATCACTCACAAAATTTCCTTCAAATACACTCGGAGTTTCATTAAAAGTTGTCTATGAGTCCATAAGATATTTTTCTTACGCTACAGACAAGACACAAGGTTGGGACCATTTTTCATTGTGTAAAATGTAAATAAAAACAGAATGCAAAGATTTGCACATTTCACAACCTCATATGTTATTTACAATAGAACATGTTAAATATATTCAATTTATGAACTAAAACTGTGCCACTGTGCCATTTTTGGGAGAAAAAGTCATTTTGAATTTAGTGGCAGCAACACATCAAAGTAACTGAGTCACGTTTCTCACTGAAGCATCGCCTCATCTTTAAACATCTTTAAAATCTGAGGAGACCAGTTGATGGAGATTTTGGAGGGAGTGTCTGATTTAGGATTGTAGCTGTTCAGCAGTGCTGGGTCTTGGTTGTATTTTTAATATGATGATGCGCCACATGTTTTCAGTTGGTGAGAGCTCAGGACTACAGGTGGGTCAGGTCAGCACCTGGACTCTGCCACTTCAAAGCCATGCATGGTTTACCATTATCTTGATGAAGTGTGGAAGGCCTGAATAAGACATTTGTATTGGCACACATGAAGTTCTAAAACTTGTAAACAATGGGCCTCATGCAAGAACATGTTCGTATTCTTATCCTAAATTTCTCTTACTTTTGTTCGTACAAAGGGTTCGTACGAACATGTCACATCAGATTCAACAAACTCTTCTATCTTCTGGAAACGTGCGTAAATGAGCTGCGTAAATTCCACCTGTTCGTATCC